TAGGGGCGAAGAATCATGCTTTGCACGTATAGCTCACTCCTTTCATAGCTACTCATGTCTTTCCACTACGCTCAGGTCTTATGACGGTTGACGGATGGCAGCTCTCGATCGTGGTTTAGGCTTTTGTCACATCTATCACAGCCACCAATATTTCTCTTTCATTATCCATCATCTTCTCCTATTGTTCATCTTACCATCTCTCTTGCGGAGAATGTCAATGACAAGAAGAAAAAATAGCGTTCTTGGTATAAAGCCTACTTATATATAAGCTTTAAAAGTATGAATTAAAAAAGTGTAATGCACTTCGTTTCTTTGAGAATTTTTCAAGTGGTAGTTAAAGTGTAAGGCAGAAAATTTAATATTACAATAGTATTACATAATCATTAACAATATCACGAGAAAGTGCGTATTGTTGGCATAGTTTGGTGTGTGTATGTGTTTGTTGGTTGTTGTTGTTGTTGTTGTTGTGACATTTTGGTGTTTTTCGCTGCGCTATCTAATGGGAATGCTTAAGACCACCTGGCAACAATGTCACCACGGCTTAAAACTTCAACACCGGGCGCTCATAGAAACAAAACATATTTCACCTAATTTTACCACAAGCCATTATATCGTAGCCAATTAACGTTTATCGGCGACAATATACAAAATTCAAGATGGACATGGACAACGAAAAAACCAAAGAATCTTTACACGATCATCGTCATCTAAGTGTCATCGAACACATGGAGAGGGACTTACAACGTACCGTCCATGATCTTGAGTCTTTGAAACAGGTTAGCGAGGATAGTTTGTGTGAAGGAGTTTGTGGAATGCGTAAGATGAAATTTAGAGATGCATTACCATATATGCAGATGGCAAAAATTAAAAAAAAGTGGCAGATCCCAAATTTTAGAAAAAAAAACTGTGCAGCAAAACAAAGAAATGACTGAGTTTAAGAAGAAACATCTAAAAATCATGGATCCCAAGGACATGCCATCAACATGCAGAATATCCCTAGTCCTTAAATATTATATCATGGGACTTTGTGTCTAATAACTTCTCTTGATAAATGCGGTGAGTTTGTCACAGATTAAATTACAAGCAGATTGTCAATCAATCTTTATATTCTTAAACAATAAATTAGGATGTTAGCAAAATATTTTTGACAATTTGTTTGTACATTAATATTTATATTGTTACAGTGTTAGTGCTATTAAATATTTTTGCCATAAATAAAGAAGGAAATATGGATAAATCATGCGATGTGTGTAATAGGAAGAATGGAAACTCTTCATTGAACAAATATAAAATACTACACAAAAATTTAATTGAACTGAGACGCAGTACAATCTTGTTATTATGTTAAGAAAAATCCCAACCTGTGTTGGGTATTGTACTGTGTTATATCGAGATTAGTTACCAATGAAAGTGAACAGTGTTGCTTTAAACCAAAATAGTAGGTAGTGAAGACCTATAAGAGGAGGGAACATAGGTATAGCTGAACAAGTTTAAAGGTAAAATAGTGTATTGAATGATGCAACAATCTTTTACACTCAATATACCATAATTAATTGCGAAAATTTTGTAATATTTGCAGTGTCCATCTTATATTAAAATGTAATTTTGAGACATGTCAAATTTTTTAGACTTGTCAGTAATTTTGAGACATATCAAATAAATATTGTGTATTGAATGTTTTTCGTGATTGCATTTTTCAAATTATTGAAAATATTACTGACTAAACTTCCAATTATTATATTTTGATTATTTCTAAAGAACGGAGGTTTGATTGCCTTAAATACAAGGATAGAGTTCTTAAGTTAAGATTTATTGGCAATCACTTTAGATTATTTAAGAAACAAAATAGGTTACATTATCTTTTTGCATCCTCTTACCTGCTTTATAACAGAAAATGTGGTTTTACGAATTCAGGAATTCCAGTTATCATTCCTGGAATAGTATTTTCATTACCACGTGGACTGCATTACCAACATTAAAATCACATTTGGAAATGTAGGGTTTCCTAAAGTCAATTTAGAATGGAAATTTACTTACACGGATATCATAAATAATAATTTTTCAAGATATGGCACACATACAGGTGAAAACAATTTTATGAATCCTATTTCTCATATTTGCTTGTTATTATCAGGAAGGTTTGTTTGAAAGATTAAAATATGGTGAGGGCATTTTAAGAAAGGTAAGGAAAGAAAGGAACAGATATAGTAAAACATTAATAATATTAAAAAAATAAACAGTTATAAATAAACAGTGCCATTTTATAATTTTTACCATCATATAGTCTTATCTACCTTGAAATAATTTTAGTTCCATGTAATTGGGGGGGGGAGAGATTATCTGCACACATTATCTTCAGTTTCATAATTCCCTTCCCGTCATTTTAAATATAAATAGTTGAAAGATGAGTAAAAGTTAAACATAAATAAATAAAAGTAAATAAATAAATTTTAAAAATCGCAAGATTAGCAATATTTGAAAAATAGTCCAATAGACAGCTGATGTTAGCTATGATACTGTAAAATATAATTATATTCCCAGAATTTTTGAAGACCGTTGACTTAAATATGCTTGTTTCAGTGTTTGCTGCTTTGTCATTGACATTCTCCGCAAGAGAGATGGGAAGATGAACAATAGCAGAAGATGATGGATAATGAAAGACAAATATTGGTGGCTGTGATAGATGTGACAAAAGCCTAAACCTTGATCGAGAGCTGCCATCCGTCAACCGTCATAAGACCTGAGCGTAGTGGAAAGACATGAGTAGCTATGAAAGGAGTGAGCTATACGTGCAAAGCAAGATTCTTCGCCCCTATTTTTGCTCGCTTTACGCAGCACCAGTTTGTCACGACGTGCGACCATAACACTAGCACTTCATTTGGAATCCAGATCAGACGCTGGCCGCCATGTTGCAGGGAGAGCATGAAGTGTGAGGGGGATTTTTTTTTTTCGCAAATTTAGAGTATTTTGAATATCCGCTCTCCCCCTGTAACGCACCAATAACGCGCGCTTAACCCCCCCGAAATAATTACGTACCGCTTGCGACACTCCCCCATGTAAATGCAAGAAATGAAAATAAATTATAGCACAGTGAAAACAATGTGTTCATCTTATTTCCGTTGTATATTAACATTTCAGATAATTAAAATCCGAATTAATGGCGAAGCTGCCGGCCCCTGACATCACGACAGGGGGCAAGTTGTAAGTGACGCAAGAACACATTGGCGAGAAAAGTTTTGATCTCAAGACGTGCACACAACGTAGTGGATGAGAGTCACGCGCAAAAGTCTACTGCGCCAATTTAAATGGATTCTAGAATATATTACACATCAGTTATGAATATTTTTTTCATAATCATACAGATTCAATAAAAAATTATGAAAAATATTTCTTTTATTGTAACAATTTCTATCTAATAACTTTATTTTTTTAATTAAGTAATTATATAATGTTTTACTGTATGACTAAAAAGAAATTATTTCAGCAAATGTTGAAAAATCTAAAAAAAGTAAATATCTATCTTACATCACAAATTCATACCCCCTATCCCTATATAACTCAACATAACGCTGCCTAAAACCCCCTGTCTCTCTTTTGCGTAACGTAATTTTTGGGCGAACCCTGAAAAGCATTTTAAAAGAGGCAAAAGTGACAATTTTCAAGGAAGAATAACACGATGAATGTGTAATTGAAATAAAAGACGCAATATTTTAAAAAATGCTTAATTTATCTGTTTCAATGACTTGTAACAAGGTGATAATTTTGGTATCTGGGTGCTTTTAAAATTCCCGCTAATATTGTGACGTAAATTGGTGCTTGAAGTTTGTAGGCTGAAGTCAAATACGATGCACAATAGATCGGCCATGTTTTTCCACTATGGATCTGAGGACCATTTTCGATTTTCTGTTCGTTTCTGGTCGACACTTGTCTGTACCTGCCGACAAGTAATCTGCGAGGTCATAATTGTTATAAATAAAGAATGGAATTTATTGTAGTAAAGTAGCAAAATATGTACATATGTATGTATTTATTTTTTACGAACTACGTAGGAAAAATATGAAATATGTAAAATGAAAATGCGTAATAGTGTTGAAAATAGCTCTGCTCAAGCTTTTCCAAGAACAGAAAGTCGTTGATCAGATTTTAGCGTGGATTCTGAGCGGATGGAAGAAAGGTCTCTCTCTTTAGAAGTAATTGTACTCGAGTTTTCACTACAAGTTTTATTCGAAATATCAAGTTAGTTCGTTGTGTATACAATGAACATGGAGCCGGCGCTGAAGTAAACAGCAGTACCGTTTAGCCACTGATGGACCCCGCAGTGGCGGGGAGGGGACGTTAAAAAGAACATTCTCCTCCCCTCAAGTTCATCAACACGGAAGGACAATCACCTATAATGATCACTATAAATAGCAATGCCGGCAAACAGTGTCCATAGCCATCACTTTCTTTTTTGCCGCGAAATATTTCTTTTCGAGAGTCCATAGTCCACCTCGTAAAACAGGTTTTGGTGCGTACGTTCCACTGCCATCATGAGATTGGAACTTTGACGGTGATATAGATCTGTCAGCAGCAGGGCAATATGTGTATTCTGTGTATTTTGTCCTGAGAAGCTTAGTAATATTAATAATAATAATAGTAATAACAATAATAATAATGGTAATAATAATAATGGTAATAATAATAATAATAATAATAATAATAATAATAATATTTTCGCCATGATTGTAAATTCAAAATTACGTCGAAATACATTTCACGTTTCACAATAGTCAACCTCCGTTGTGACCGTAGCTATAAAGCATCACGTTGTAGATGTTTTGACTGTTCAGTTTGAACAGTGAATTTATATCATTAATAGTAATAATAGTAATACTAGTAATAAGAGTAATACTAGTAATACTAGTAATAATAGTAATAATATGGATTGTGGGAGCTTGAGAAACCGGCTTCTTTTAAAATGTAATAAAAAATTACGTTGGTCGCGAATACTGCTGTCTCACCTTGCAAGCGCCAAAAGCTCACCATGAACTTCTGCAAAGCCCCACACTGTTGAGTCTCTGATTCGGGGCGCAAGCACCGCGCACCGGCAGATTGATAATATTGCCTTGAAGAGTACCATTTTGAGAAGAAGTAGGTGCTGCCGTGCAGAAAGCACACATTACAAAAAGTAGTGTTGCTAATACCAAAAATCCTATCTTCCGAAAAGACATCTCGGGAGCTGGCACGTCGCACTGCTAACACGCACACACTCTCCAAAGCGTTAGTGCTCTTCTAAGTGCATCCGGAGAGTAGTCAAGGCTACATTGGTTATCAGTCACCTCCCCTTGACCTAAGCCGCGATAGAGGAAAAATGATAATGAAAGCTCAAACAAATGAAGTAGTTACGACGAAAGACTGCATCACAGAGCATAGAATACTAGGAAATTAAGAAACAAAACGTACAATAAGTTGTTTTTTTCGAGGGATTTTATCCAGCCGAGAGTCGTTACCCTTTACGTCCCGATGGGATGCATTTTCAACCATACACTAAACACTAAGACACTTGCGGGCTCCATCGACCTGGAGTCAGCAGAACGCGAGGCCTTCCACGACCACACACGCACGCGCGAGAGAGAGAGGGGGGAGAGAGAGGGAGAGGGAGAGGGGGGAGAGAGGGAGAG